AAAGAACACCCCTAACCACATACTAATCAAGCTGGTAAAAAAAACTCCCTCTCCTCATTCTCCCAGCAAGTTTCTACCAGCCTAATCACATTTGGCGTTGAGTTTTGAAAGTTGTTAGTAATAGGAGAACAAACACATAGTCCAATAGATGAACAAAATTTGAGTACTCAGTCAAAGACAAGAATAACAATTGATAGAGGAGATGCAATGACAATGCAAATGAGTTTAAAGCATTTCTTCAAGAGTCTTCAGTGTCATGCAGCAAGCCTGATTGCATTTTCTATGGGATCACTCAGCTGGCTGTCTGCTTAAGAGTCCTATATATTTCAGTTCTTCATCCCAGGCACACATCAAACTGATAAGGCAATAAGTCTACATTTTCTGCTACATGTCCTTGATTCTGGAGCTAGTTGATAAGTTTCTAAGTGTCCTTTCTATATATAGTTAAATGAACACTTGATTTTGTGGGTTCAAAAAAAAACCACATCATGAAAATTATTGAGTAGGATATGAGATAAAACGAGAAATGCAAAAGATTTAGGTAACAGTACAACACATCACATGTACAGAAAAAGTAACAAGTTGGAGAAGCATTGACTAGCATCCTTAATACAAAGGGGAGAAGCACCATATCTGGCAGTTAAGGGGAAGCACCAAGTCCCTGGAGGGTAGGATTACATCACCAGAAATACTATTACTAGACATTTACCAACAACAACAACAAAAAGATACAGAGACCTAGAAAATCATAAACACCAATATGAAAAATTTACCATTTCAACAAAAGAAAACAACAGAGAACACAACTAATTTGTCTATCCATCAATTATAATACAAAAGAAAGCCAAATAGCTGAGCTTCTTGACGAGATAAAAGAGGCAGAGAACTACATAATAAGAGATATCATAACTAACCATTTACTATTTCAACCAAAAAAAATTATAAAAAGAAAAGAACATTACCAGCGTATAAGCAACAATTCTATTCTTTGCTAGATCAGGAACTCCCTTCCAATTCTTCACACCATGTCTAGCATTATGGAGAACTTTCACAGAGAGCTCGGTAATAAAATCTTTAGCTCCAGGACCTACTGCAACTGTTCGATCTGGTGGAATGATCACCTTCAACTTTCCATTGTCATTTTTCTTACGTTTCTTTTGGGATGAAAGCCCTGTTGTCTTTCCTCTTCCCTTCCTTTTTTTTTCTTCAAAAATACATAAAGATATTAAAATATATGTAAATAAAGCATATATGATCTAGATATTTTGAATAAAATACAATTTAACAAATGGATAAATTTACCTGGAGGGGGGATTGCACTTACATCAGTAGTTTCATTATCATTAGAAATATGCATATTTTTCATCATGGTTGGCTGCAATTAACAAACAAAAGCAATGCCAAAATAATAAAGTGATAAAATAATGTTCAAAAATTAAGAGAAACAAGTAAAGTTTCTAAGAATAAATATAAAGAGATATGCGAAAAGTATAAAATAGAAATTAATTGTTTCGGTAAGTGAAAAACAAAGCTTCTATGAACAAACTTATTCAAACAAATTTTATCTTGATGACAAGTTGAAAATCAAAACCAATCATCATCCTCAACTTCATTGTATTCACTAGTATCTTCATCTATTTCAGAATCACTGAAGTCATCTACATTTTCGTGATCAATATCATCTATAACTACTAAGTCGGCTTCTTCCTCGTTATTTAGAGGTGCTTCAACACTCACTCCATCAATATCTTCTCTTTCTATTCTGATGTTATCATGCTCCAACTCTACTTCTTGAATTGTTTCTCCTCTTTCAACTAAGTCAATCAGTTGATATTGTTCCATTTCATCTTTTTGTTCGGGAAGATCATACAAATGTCGTTGTCTTACCCTTATCACTGAATGCCATTTTTCACTTTGACCATGTTTCACATAATACACTGATTGAGCCTGTGAACCTAGAATGAATGGATCACTAGTGTAATGAAGTCGTGTTATATCTACACAGACAAATCCATATTCATCTTTTTTGTAACCTCTACTTTGACTACGACCTTGAGGAGGAACTTCAAACCAATCACATTGAAATAACATAACGGATTTATTGTTCATATATTGGATCTCTAAAATTCTTCTTATCCTTCCAAAATAATCAATATTTCCTGTATGTTCATCACTCTTCACAACCACACCACTATTTTGAGTTTTCAAACCTAGCTCAGATTCCATTGTTCGAAATCGAGAACCATTCAAGATATATCCGCTATAACAAAAAACTCGAGGATCTGGAGGTCTTGCCAAAATTAGTAATTCTTCAGTAATTCGGTTATCACCATTTTCCTTTAACTATATCACCTGTAGTATTTTAATTACAAAATCACAAATAATATTAATGTTATTTAAAAGAATAAATATGCAAATCATCAAATGAATGATTTTACATTTTTTTCAAACCATAAAGGAAATTCCTCCTTGTGTCTCTTTGCTACATTTCTATTATTCTCCTTTGTTAAAATTTCTAGATGTTCCCTATACTTGTGGAGATTTGAAAAAATAAAAAAATTAGACATAATTGTTAAGTGTTTGTAAGAAATTGATTTAAAGGTAAACCATATCTTACTCAATCCAAGGTCTGACTTCCTCACAATTTTGGAGAGTGTAAAAATGGGCCTGATTGATTTCTAAAGTATTCAAATTAGTCCAGGAACCCCCTGCTAGTGGTTTACCATGACAACTAAATATAGATAAGCTATTGTTGTCTATGTTAAAAGAATTAGAATTCCTATCTGGACGATATTGCGTTGTTTCCATATCGCTCAAATATCTGGAGAATAATGTAATGCATTCCCCTGCAATTTGACCCTCAGCAATTGATCCTTCTACACGATAATTGTTGCGTACATAACCTTTCAAGGTTCGTAGGAATCTACGAAGAAAAATATTAAATTTTTTAATAAATTTAAATCAAAAGAATAGATTTAAAAAGTAAGAAACCAACATTTCAATGTAATACATCCATCGAAATTGAACAGGACCACCCAACTTTGCCTCATTTGCCAAATGAATTGCCAAATGAACCATAACATCAAAGAACGTCGGCATGAACACACGTTCTAATTTACATAGTGTTACTCGTATGCTTATATCTAGCTGATCTAGCTTCTCCATAGATAACTCTTTAGAACACAAATCATTAAAGAACAATGAGAATTCAATTAATGGGTCATGTGCATCTTTTGGTAAAATTTCTTTAATGATAAGTGGTACTATACGTTGAAAGAGAACATGATGATCATGACTTTTAAGCCCAAAAATTTTAGCTTCCTTGATACAGCGACTAATGTTAGAAGCGTAAGCATCGGGAAACTTAACTTCTTTGATGAGCTGACAAAATTCAATCCTTTCGGCCTTAGACATCGTATAACTTGCTGGAGGAAGTATGTATTTATCCCCACTTTTTATGGGATGAAGGGACTTTTTGATCTTCATTTCTTGTAAGTCCAATCGAGATTTCAGGGTGTCCTTTGTTTTCCCTTCAATATCCAACAATGTACCTAACACACTTTCACTAATATTCTTTTCAATGGGCATCACATCCAAATTATGTCTCAACAATAAAGTCTGCCAATATGGAAGTTCAAAGAATATACTTTTCTTTTTCCAATTATCATGTCTTTTAGTATCTCGTTTTCTTTTTCTTGTTTTGTCATCAGCAGACCTTTGCAAAGAGGTATTAATTTGAACAAGCACATCTTCACCATTCAAAGCATGTGGTGCAATTCTTTCTTCCTTTGTATTATCGAAAAAACTTTTATTTCGACGATAAGGATGATTCATCTCCAAAAAACTACGATGACCCATATAACATTGCTTTCGACCAAGTTTCAAGTAAGAAGAACAAGTATGCACATGACAAACTGGACAAACTAATTTACCTTTAGTGCTCCAACAAGATAAAATACCATAAGCAGGAAAATCATTGATTGTCCACAACATTGTCCACAACAATGAAGCATGTAATTGAAAATTTTGTTTCATAAAAGCATCATAAGTCTCAATTCCATCCCCCATAAGATTTTCAAATCATCAACCAAAGGTTGGAGATACACGTCAATATCCATACCAGGACCTTTCGGTCCAGGAATAAGTAAAGACAACAAAAGATTAGACTGTTTCATGCATATCCACGGGGGAAGATTATATGGAATCAAGATAACTGGCCACATGCTATATGAATTACTCATTGAACCAAAAGGATTAAAACCATCTAAAGCAAGTCCAAGTCTTATGCTACAAGGATCTGAAGCAAAATTTGGATATTTTTCATCAAAACTTTTCCACGTCAACGAGTCAGCAGGATGTCGTAACACTCCATCATCAACTCATTCATCCTTATGCCACCTCATTTCTTTTGCGGTTCCTTTAGTCATAAACAATCGTTGTAATCTAGGTATAATAGGAAAGTATCTAAGAATCTTTCTAGAAATTCCTTTCTTTTTGTTATTCAAATTACCCGAAGCAACTTCACTATTGGAATCTTTTCCTTTTCTCATTGTCCATCTTTTTTCACCACATTTAGGACATTGTTCAAGATTCACATATTCCTTTCTATATAAGATACAGTTATTAACGCATGCATCTATCTTCACATAATCTAAACCCAAATCTTTTATTATCTTTTGAACTTCATAAATAGAATCTGGGAGCACATTTTCTTTAGGTAAAGCATCACTAATTAATTTCAACAAAGAGTCAAATGAAGTATTACTCCATCCATGCATACACTTCATTTGAAAAAGACGCACTATAAAAGAGAGTTTGGAGTACTTTTCACAACTTGGATACAATCGATTTTCTGCATCTTTCATTAACTTATAGAATCTCTTAGCTTCTGTATTAGGCTCTTCGTTCGGAGACTCAGTTGTGTCATTAAACTCATCACTATTGCTGGGAACACCATGATATATATCATGCAACATTTCATAAATTGGAACATCATCATTTGCTAAACTTGAATCTTCACTAAGATTTGTTTCATCATCTGAAGAAAGATCTAGCTCTCCATGATAAATCCACTTTTTATATGTTTGATTCATTCCAAACCTACACAAATCTATTCTCACTTCATCTCGCGTTTTCCAAAGAACATTATTGCATTTTATGCACGGACATTGAATTCTTACACCAACCTCAAGATTAGAAAATGCAAAATTCAAAAATAGCTCCACACCATTTAAATATTGTGGTAACGCTCTATTTCCAATAAGTATCCAACTTTTATCCATTATATACTTACCTTCAACAATTTTAAAATCAATTAAAATAAAGTTATATGATTTTTTATTTTTAAAAAATAAAGAAAATGTTAGAGAAAAACTTCATATTATAAAAGGTCAATATAAAAATCTGAAATTCCATGTAAGACCAGTAATTATTTTTTTGTATATGTACATCTACGAACATCTCCAAAAATAATTCTTATATCTACAACCTCTCATACAAAAGAGTATAAAATAGATAAGATTAGAATAGATAATCAATTTAAATTCAAATCTACATGTAATATTTCAATATCAATACAAAACACTTAGAAGAGTTAGAAATATATCTCTCCATATTGATTGAGATGTTGAATTTCCATGGTACTAGGACATATCAAATGTATCTTTAACATATAGCAGAAACAACATGAATAAAAGTATGGTAAATATGGTTATGCAGGCAAGTTATATGTCATATATTAAGTGAGAATATAACAAGTTCATAGGCACAAGCAACAAGTTGGTCAACTGAATCTTCAGACAAGCATACACATGACCAAACTGTATTACATCAACATTATTACAAAATGTAATGAAGAACATGAAATAAAAAAAATAAATTGTGATCACACCTGTTTACCACTAGAAACAGGTTGTAGTATTGCTCCAACACCAACAACCTTAGCTTTAGCCGTGTCAATAGATGGAGGATGACACCCTGTAGAACAATAAGCCATGCTAAGAATATTAGTATAATTAATCTAAAAAAATTTATTATTCAACCAATGTTTTCAACTAACAGAAGAAAAGAAAATTTCCTCTTGAGACACCATACCTTAAAACTAATGAGACGTTGTTTACTGTAAAATGATGCTGACTGCTTACTGCTTTCACTGTGCTGTCCATTTTTTTTATTGAAAAAAATTAATTCTTCTATAGTAATTATTATAGTATTTGCTAATATATGTAATTGTTATTGAAATTTTGAATATTTATATGTGTAATTAAATATTTTAATTTTTTATATTGATTCGCGCCTCGATTAAAAAAGGCGAGCGACAAGGCGAGGAATAGGAGTTGGTTAGATTTAGACATGGAACTGGAAGAAGAAGTAGGGGAAGAAACTTATTTCTTTTTTGGATTGTGATCTGGATTGCAGGTTTGGGAGAGGCCTTCGGAAGGGCAGTTTTCTTGGTTTTTGAGGTAATGTTCTTGCTATGCCTATCCCTACGATTTACCAGATAGTGGCAGTGGCACACTAGAGGAATATTGTACACTAGATGGATTACCTTTCTTTATACAATTGGGGAAGCCTTGAATTAAGATTTCATCTCCCATAAATCTGAGATGAAGACCTTGTTTAGCTTATTCAATACTTTTACATGGCATACAAATGCCTTCATCACTAAAACAAGATTCACGACACCAAGTTGCAACACTTTTTAACTATTTAAATCCTGGCATCCTTAACTAAAACTGATCGGGTTATAAGTTATATGGTAGGGAAATTGCAGAATATCTCTGCAGAAGCTACCTCTATCACTGCTGAAGGAATGCAACCAATCTGCCAACTAATCAAGAATCAGTAACTAGTGTTCTAGTTATACCAGATTACCAGCGGGTTCAGTTTTTGATCTCCAAGTAGTAATATCATAATGTTTAATCTTTGAGTATGTTGAAAGGTGAAAGAAAGAAATAACAGGATGATACAATATCTAAAAGAGGACAATTTCTTGCGAATCTCCAAGACAACAAAGGGAACTTTACTTTAATATACGATCACTCGGGTCTGCCTTTTCAGGACCTAATCATTGATTTTATTAATGAAGCAGTGAATAGACTAACAAATTTAACTGATTTCCTTTACTATTTGGTAAAACATGCACTTAATTTACCAGAAGAACTACCAACTCTTTTTGAGGATCATGCTGCCAATGAGAGATAGCACTTGATGTTACTTCTGCTAAATTTGCCAAATACATTCTTGTATATGGTTAACACATACATGATAGTCCCAACAATAGATGACTACTGTATGAGTCTTGGAGCTGCAACAACTCTTTGTGGAGCTGTAATTGGGTCTATGGTTGTTGCTCAGGTGTTCTCTTCAGTCTATTTTCTGTTCATGGTCAAATAAAAAAATAAACGAAGCCTATTTTGTGCAGCAGCATGGTCCTTCTTGTCGGGAATACCTTATATGTACTGGCTTATGACTTCAACTCGATATACTTACTTCTAGTTGGACGTCTATTTTGTGGGCTTGGTTTGTCAAGGGTAGTTAATAGGCGTTAAAGCACTGATTGTGTTCCTCTGCACCTGCGAATGAAGGCTTCAATTGGTTTAACTATAAGTGCACTTGGAATGGCATGTTGTCTAGTTGTTGCCTACTTGTTACAAACTAACTTTAAGTTCCTAAATATCAGTTTTAACTAAAAACTTTACTAGGCTGGATAATGGCTCCTGCATGGTTTGTTTACATGTTATGCTTATGTACTACCTTTAGTGAACCTCCAATGTTGGAACTAGAGGATGTTCTGCTACCAAAATCCAATAGTGAGAAGATTGAAAATGACTTACTGCATAAAGGTATTACCCAAACATTCCTTTTATGTGCAGAAGAGACAAAACAAGACGAAGATGACGATCAAGATTGCGATAATAGTGAAAAACTGCAGAGGAGATCCAAAAATATGTTACTTCCATCATCTCTGCGTATAAGTTTCTTAACCCGTAGAAATCATAGTGTGCTTGGTAATAGTTTTTAGTTTCTATGTCACAATTCCCTATTCTGTACCACAATATGTATGTTCAGCTCTAATCACATTTGTAGTTATTGAAGTACTCGAAGAGTTAACCTTAAACTTCTATCTCGAGCCATATGTCTTCAAAGCATTCTTAGGGAACCTATAATGGTGAACTATTTTCAACGGAAGCTGAAACGTTAGATCAAGTATTTGGTCAAAAAGTGAATTCTATAAAATTTTAAAAGGCAACAGCATACAGTAACTAAACATATCTTGCACATAACAGAAAAAATAAGGCACACACATTAATCAATGAATAAATAACAAAGCATACTTGATATTTTAAGACAAGCACATTAATCTACAGCCGAGAAGGTCTTGAAAATCATAGAATTGTATAGAATCATTGACGTATCTGTCTCTTAATCCGTTTGAAGTCAATACTTTGCCATGGCTATATATGTTTCCCTCCAGATACACAAGAAACTCTAACAATTCTTAATGTTAGATACAGATAGGCCTTTGTTCAAATTTCAGAACACCTTTTCTTTTGTTGTGCTAACAAAACAAGTCTTGTTTTTTTTCTTTGGAACACACAGCACCACACAAATAAATAAATCAAAAACACCCAAATAACAGTACTAGCAATTTTGTTACTCAATCGTACTAGTAATAACTAGTAGTAGTAATTTTTTCACTAATCTCAGCAAAAAGACGGGAAAAAAAAACCTTAACAAAGCAATTGAAATATTAGAAAATAACCTAGGAGACTCAATCATTAGATAATCATACGCAAGAGTTAACAAAACTTTGTGAAAAGAAACTAAATCATACAGAAAACTCACCAGAGATAGACTTCACCAGGCCAACAACGTTCTTCTTAAGTGAATCAGAAAACCTAGCTTCAGTTTTCCCTAAAACTGAAGAACCGCTACTTCTGGAAAAGAAAACTAAAAAATTGTGAACTTCTGCAAAAGAAAATTGGCAAAAATAAAAAAGCCCGCGATTCTATTGGCGGAAAACTAAAAAAAAACTATTTTGCCACAATATATGTATTGTCAAATTAAATATATTAGCAACAATAAAATATTATTGTTGCCAAATATTTTTTAAGATAGCAACAAACTAATTAAATTATTGCCATTATTTAAGTTGGGCAACAATATCATCATTGTTGCAAAAACCTTGTTGCAATTTTTTAATATTTAAAATTTATTATATTAATTATTATTAACAATATAATATCGCAACAATACTAACATATTTGACAACAACAAAAATATTCTTGTTGAAAATTTAAAAATGTACCAACAATAAAATTAAGTTGTTGCGACTTATCAATATAAGCCAACAATAATATAGTTGTTGCTAAAAAGTTGTTGCTAAATCCTTAATTTCTTGTAGTGTCATGAAGCTTGAATCCTTACTTTAATTCAATGAAAGTTAAGAATCAAGTCTAGAAGTAAAGAAGCAAATCAAAGTGAAGTTTATAAAGTTTTGTAAAGTCTTTCACAAACGTTTTCACTTTGTTTTAAAGACTTAAAGTTCAAGTCAAGAAAGAGTAAAGAGTTGAGTTAAATTCTCAAAAGCTATAAAGGAACTAAGTATTCCCTAAGAGTTAAGTTTCAAATCAAGCAAAGAGTAATAATTGAGTTCATTTCTCAAAAGCTATATGGGAACTAAGTATTCCCTAGAGGTTTATAATTTTTTCACATTTAAGTTTAGAGGAAACTAAGTGTTCCAAAAGAGTTTTGAACTAAAAGGGATACATTGATTCCAAAGGAGATTTTTAACTATAAAGAGTTTCAATAAATTATCTCAACCTAAAGGAAGAAAGTTTTACTAGAAGTATGAGCTAAAGTGTCTTTTGGGAGTACTATTGAACACCGATGTGGGGATGAGAGTTCATACCAACTCAAGTCTCCTTGTAAACCATAAAGTCATCGTGGGAATCGATGGGTCATACTTTTTAGATGATAAAGTATGTTTATCTAGTTGATCCACTATGCTAACTAAGGTCATATACCGATTGCAAGGTATAGGATGGTCCTTTGGAGTCGTGAGTTAAAATGTTCTATCATAACTTAGGCTCAATGTGATGGTTGTCGGTTAGAGAATCTCCCACAAAAGTATATTAGTTTCATATATATATGTCAAGTTGAATGTTATTGCATTTTCTTCGACGAACTAAGTTGCTTTTTACTGTTTTACAAAGCTTTTTATATATAACATGTGTATTGTAGCTTTATATTGACTTGAATATCCATATTTGAGTATCATATCTTTGAGTTTAATGTTAAATATCTGAGTTGAGTATTTTATTCGTGAGAGTTCTCGAGTTTCATGTTTGAGAAAAGGTAAGTATGTTTCCATCTTTTATTCAAGTGTCAAGCTGATATTATGCGTTAGAATTCCCTTACATGCTTGTACATTCCACGTACTGAGCCATTTGGCCTGCATATTTTGATGATGCAAACACTAGTATTCGGGATCATCAACAGGAGCTTCATTGATACCTCTGAGACTAGAGTTAGCTATGGTAATCCTCCTTGCTTCCGGAGCACTTCATTTACTTTTCAGTTTAGACAGGACGTCATGGGTCTTGTCCCGACTTTTATCTTTATAATTTAGAAGCTTCATATATAGTCAGTTTAGTTAACTAGTCTGTGTTACTCATTTATCTTATTAAATGTTTTGAAGACTAAAGTTGCCTATTTATGGCGAGTTAAATTTGTTAATTTCATTATTCAATGTTTTTCAATTGAGTTAAAGCATTGTAATTTAGTTTCATGATTTTTAATCTATTTTAAGCTTTTTTATGCTTAAGTTAGTGTTCCGGATGTAGTCATCAAGAATAAGGGTTCGCTTGGGGACCAACAAATGGTTTTCGAGTGTCGGCCACATCCTGGTCTAATTTCAATTTTTATTTTCATCCCACCCCCATCCCTACCCTCGACCCCTTCCTTATGCCAGCCCCCCCTCCCCCCCCCCAAAAAAAAAGTTTGTGTTATGTGTGAATTTACTATTTTAGCTTCAAATCAAAGACGAGACAACTTCCCTGAATAAACAAGGTTCCTTCATGTGTTTTCCTTTCCCAATAAAACAACCAAACAAAAATTCATCGAGTAAAATTTGTTAGAGTCAAAGAGTAAGGTCTCTCGGTATCTTATACACCATGTCACATCTAGAGAGATATTTGTATCATTATACATTATTACCCACATTGTGTATTATAAGGGTGTTCTAGTTGACACTTAAAAGATTGAAGTAGTGCGAAAATTGGCTCAGACCCACATCTCCAACTTACATAAGGAGTTTGTTGATTTTGGCGGGTTACTACAAATAATAAGTGAGGGGTTGTCATATTTTTCATTCCAAAAGACTAAGTTTACCTAGAAGAAGGGTAAGTTTCAATTGTTTAAGGATTGTTAGAAAAATATTTTAGAAATTGCACACTCGATTGACTATATCTCTAGAATTGATCCTACCCCAATGAACAAAAGGTTTTGTCATCTATTGTGATACGCACAAGTGAGTCTTTATTGTGTACTGATATAGAATGGTAAATCTATAACATATGCTTTCATAAAGTTTCAAATCCACGATAGAAATTATCTGAGTCACGACCTCGTGTTGGAAGAATTGGTGTGAGCTTGTATGATATGGTGTTAGTATCTCTATAGCTTATTATATGATTTGATTTACAAGATTAGATAAGACTTTACTCCAATGTTATGGAATTGATCAAACTTTAGGTGTTTATAATTTTGAAACAGTAATATTAAAACATTTCCTCTTTAATATATTCCACACTATCTTCCATCAATTATCATATGCAACTATAAATTAAATACCTTTTATATCCAACAAAGATTAACTAAAGGCCTTAAAGAAATATTCTAATAGTTTTTTCTGTCAAACTTATCTAAAGATAATAACTGTTTATTCAGGAAAACATGAGAGACGAAGAGTTACATATGGTAAGTGCATCTTCCACTTTTAAATGTCTTTTTCCATAACTTGTAAGTATACTAAAATGTAAATTCATATATCTCGAATTTGTATATAAAATATATTTTTGTTTAATATTTTAGACTTTTAATATTTAAATAGTGTTCATGAATATAAATAGTAAAAATTAATTTAATAACGAATAATACTCTTAAGTTCTCTAGTATTAGGTAAATAGTAAAATATATGACTTGTTTGTGTAATATACCCTAAAGAAAATACAGTTGAAATGAAATGAGAAAAAATGAATAAACAGATTTGTAGGTTGGGGCGTGGATATATCGCTCTCTTTAAGAAGATTCAAGCCCACTTCGACATAAACTACACCGATTCAGCAGTGTCACTCTTGAAAACTACACTTTTTTACGTTTTTTGTTGTTAAAATAGGTGAGTGTTATAGTTACTCTCTGAGTTAATATCTCAAAAGCTCACTTAACTTAAACGGAAATTCTAGCAAAATCATTAGACTTTGTTTTATATCAATGAAATCACTCAACTTAGGTTGTTTTTATCAAAAAAATTAATCAACTAAATTTCACGACCCGAGCCTACACCTTGTACGTGGCCGACACTCGAGAACTATTGTTGGTCCCTAAGCAAACCCTCATCCTGGCTGACTACAAGTAGAAGACTAACTCAAGCATACAAAGCTTAAAATCTGAACAAAATTCATTGAACTCGAATACTAATCTTTAAATCAAATGAATAACTGAGAAGAAAAATGATATATTCAACTCGATAAAAAATAGAGAACTTAAGTATTTAAAAATATTAACAAAATAAATTAACAGACTTTTGAAACTCTGTTGTGTATATATGAAGGCTCTAGCTGAAAAAGATGGAAGATTGGGACAAGATCCATGATATCCTTACAACTGATATACTTGAATGTGCAAGTTGAACCCTCTGGAAACAAGGAGGTTTACCAAAGCTAATCAAACTCCATGTGGCATCAACAAAGCACCTATTGATGACCCTGAATACATGTATGTGAATCATCAAATGATGAAGGCCAAATGGCTAAGTACGTGGAATGTACAAGCATGTAAGGAAACATAAGCTCTAACTTTATAAAAATGAAACATACGTACCTCTATTCAAATCCCCGACTTAACTCAACACATATATAAGATAGTCAACTCAAAGATAAATTTTTTAACTCAGTGAATTAAGGCTCAATTCCTTAATAAGATATTCAACTCAATGAAATAAGGCTCAAATTAATAATGACAGTCGACTCTTGGTACTCAAACTCTTGATATATGGAAAATATTTAAAATAGTAGAAAGCAACTCAAAGTATTTAATAATATGATATACTCAGTTTGTATGAGAGGGTACAATATAAACTATGTTTGCATATGAAACTACAAGTAAACTCTGGGTATAAAAAATACAAAATATCTTTGCAGGAGTTTCTCTAATCGACAGTCATCATTATTAGCTATATGATTATACAAAATCTCTCCTACGCTTCCAAAAATGTACTATTATGTGATAATGTATAAGATCTCTCAACTAAGTGGATCCACTAGTCTATGCTAAAAATTATTAACGAATTATTTACAAAGTATGAAAATTTCTACCCACATTGGCAATATTGTTTATGGTGTTTGTGGATTATATGAAGTTTCCCCCATCAAGGTGCTCAATACTACTCCCAAAATATACTAAGATCATATGTTTTAGAAAATAACTTTTTGGTGTTTTGAGATTACTACTCAAAAATCTTTTTCTGAAAAGAAATTTTACTCAAATTGCTCAAAACTCTTTTGGAAATCTATGTTTCCTCTCATCTTTAATGTAAAAGCATTTACTCTTGGAAATACTCAGTTCCCATATATCATTTTTAAAAAATTGTACTCAACTCTGCTCTTTTTCAAAACATTTCAAAAATCATATTATAAATTGTTCATTTATGACTCGGGAAGTAATACAACATAAACATTGATAGTATATCTAGATTCCATACTGCTCAAACATTGATGGCATATTCTATTGGCATACT